ATTATTATTATTATTATTATTATTATTATTATTATTATTATTATTATTATTATTATTATTATTATTATTAATTACTTTTCGAGGATAGGAAAATCAGGATAGGATAAAAACCAGATAGTGTTCCAAATGCTTTCGCCGAACTGGTAACATCAGTTACTATTTTCTTTAACTCCTAAAAAGCTTTAATTCGAAAAACGAAATTTTTGAATGGTGATCTCACTACAGACAATTTTAATCAATCGATATTTGTCGGTTAATATTGGTTTATTATTCTTTTATAATTTATAATTGACTATTGTTTGCAAAATCTTACAGACGCTTTGAACTAGCAGTTTTCTGGGGACAGTCATTTCTAGACTTAAACCTGATAATTAGAAATGTTGTTTCCGGTATTTTAGATTTTCCGGTTATCCTCATATAATGATTATCAATGTTATTTTCAAGTTTATGCTCGAAATGTTTTCTTCTATTGTTTTAATCATATTTGCATTCATTCATATGCAACTTTTGTAATTTTAATCAGCTACGATGAATTTAAATTGAAAAAATAACCTTTGGAACATTCTTATCATTCTTGTCCTTTGATCCATTAACTATAGATGGTGCTGGGAAAAAAAAAAATCATTTCATTTAAAATGAAATATCACATATTTGTCTCACGAATAGTTTTCATTTGTTCGGTTCGCTATTTTCGTTAACGAAGAAATTCTGATAATGATCGTTAGAAATAACTCAATAATACCTTGAATTACTTTATGCTTGTTCTAAATCAAAGCAAACGTTCTAATTTGAACCGATCTTCCGGGAAAGGACGATATAATAGAGGGAATTTTTTTGGTAATTTCTCCGCTTCAAAAAAAAAGCAAACAAAATTTTGCTAAATGAATTGTTAAATTTAAATGTCATACATATCACTTTCTTAAAATCTATCTCTTGAACATTCTGTTCAAGATTAGGTTCAGATATTTCTGGTTCCTTCTCTTCTTCCTCTTCTTCTTCGTCGATAGATTTTGATGCATAAATAATCTTTTCTTCATGACCGTTATGTATGATTGATACTTCTCTGATATCATTCTCATCACAATCGTCAACTATACCGCTATCATTCTGATCGATTTCAATTTGAGATTCTCGTATTTTTAAATCCGGATTCTCGTTAGTCACATTTTCTCCGCTAGGAAAGAAGCCATTGTTTGATTTATTAAGTTTTCTCGTTTTTGAAACGAATAATTGTTTCTCAGAATGATTGTCTGTTGGTATCTTTTTTACATCAAACACATGATATATTCTTTGTTTACTCTTAAATTTTAACTTTTCTGCTTTTCTAAAATATGAACCGTTAGATAATTCGGAATAATTTCCTGGCCTCATTGTTTCATTTGTAAAATTTCCGGTTAATTGTCTTTCAAGTATATTTGCTGCAAGATTGTAGTCTCCTATTGAGGTGTTTAATAAAGCCGGCTGTTTTTTTTAACACCTCCTTTCCTACAACTGCCGGATCTCTTCTTTGTCTACTCTCAATCTTTGATCTTTCAAATATGCTTGTCGCAAGATTGTAGTCTTCTGCCGAGGTGTTCAATAAAACCGGCTGTTTTTTTTCCAGAAGAACCTTCTTCACCTCCTTTCCTAAAACTGCCGGATCTCTTCTTTGTCTACTCTCAATGTTTGACTTTTGCGTCCCTCTGAAATCTGAACTGTTAGTGAATTTAGAACTTCGTACATTCATCGTTCCATATGCTTTCAATTCTTTTTGAATTTCATCTCCAATTTCTGAATTCAGTCTAGCTTCAAATTCGTCTTGTACTTGATCCAGAGAAAACGGATCATCCATATAACTATTCCGTGGATTTCGTCGAACAACACCATTCCAGGATTTTCCAGGGTTTTTCAACTTTTCCATTTTCAAAATAAAATTGTTTTTCGAAATATCTTTCATACTCAAATGCTGTTTTCTAGTGCTGTTATGCCGATCGTCCATGAGATTATTTTGCTTCTGAGATTCCGCATTTTCATCCCTAGTACTAGTCAATCCGTTTTCTTCACGGTAGCCTTCTTTTCGCTGTCGAATATTTGGCTGAAAGTGATTAGTTAGCGATTTTGAGTGTAATTGTGCCAGCAGCGATACTCCTTTAAATGTATTTTTTAGGCCTGATCCATCATACATCTTGGTTCTAGTTGTATTTTCCGGATTCATTTTTTCAAACAGCGCCGAATGCTTTCTAGCTACAACTTGATTCCTACCAAGTGCAAATATTGCTGACAATTTTTGGGTCAGATGTTTGGTATCCTCCTCTTCATCTCTCTTTTTCCTTCTCTGACTAATCACATGCATAGGGATAAAAAATTTTCCAACGATCGGTGCTTCATCTTTTCCTTGAACGATAAATTTGCCATACTGGATGTCAGTTCTGTCTAAAATATAATATTCTATTGCAAGTCAAAATTCCGGGTTAAATTTTGATCTCCTATTCCGCAAGTACCATACTCTACTCTGATGTTTTTTGGCTTATTGAGTGCCGGATCAAAAATAGCAAAAAAAAGAGAGAATGGAGTAAACTGTTTATTTTTTTTTATCAATTAATGTTTGCAAGAGTATAAAGTGCTAGTAAATAGGTAACAACAACAAATATTTAGTATAGTATTGCTGGGAGATTTTTAATTTTTTCGAAAAATAATTTTACAATTTGTTCATCAGTTTTTCTTTTCACCTTCTAAAACAAATATCTGCCTAAAATGGAGGTGATACTGAATGTATTACTCACAGTAGCATTAGTTTACATTTGAAGAAACAAAACCAGCTAAAATAATCAGCTTCAGCTAAAATAATCAGCTTGCATAGCAGCAAACTGTTTATTGCCTAGTGTGACTGGCTAGCCAAGGCTAACCAGCCAGAAGAACGGTAGTCTAATCAATGGATCTATAGGCTTTAATGTTGTATATCTTTTGACGTATTTCTCGACATGAATCATTGGAACTATGTGAGAAGGAATTCGGTAAGCAACAATATCACTGTCAAAAGATACACAACATTAAAAGAATAATCTAATCTAAGATCTTCAAAGAATAATTGGACTAAAAGCTTCATTATTTGAGTCATATCGAGAAATACGCAAACTATGCTATGAAACCATTCCATTGGCTTCATTTTGATCACCTCAAATTTCGATCAAAAATCAATGGATCTATAGGCAAAAAAAAAAGTAACAAATAAATAAATTTATTGAGCAAAAACTTTTTTGTGGGGAAAAAAGTTTGCTAAACTAACTGATTCTAACATTAACCAAAGTTTTCATCGTATTTTCAATACATACCAATAATACTGAGCAAACCAAATAAGACCAGTAATTTTGATAACATTATGGTGTAAAAAGTTTTTTTATCACCGTGAAATTTACGAATCGATACTATACTCCAGCTAACAAACTGTAGAAAATGAAGATTTGGATCGATAGATCATCCTTTTATACTCTTTATCTCCATGAAAATATACATAATGCAAGTGATGTACACATCATTAGAAATTTCAAATAAGCTAACGGTTGTACACGTTGTTCACATAGGATTCCGAATCTCTACCTATCCAGAATGTAACGGATTCTTGAATGGCCTAATCTGCCGGAATAAAAGATACTCTCTCCGGATGAGCCGATGTAAATGCGTGGCGCCATTTTAATTGTCAACAGTAATGCACATCAATAACGAACTAGTTTAGTTATTCTTGCTTTACTATGCACACCATTAGTGAAAGAACGGAATGATGATTGCCAAATTTCACTAATTCTTTACTCTCATGTCTTATTTTGTGTTATTTGTAATTTTAATTATAATTTTAATAGTGGTATAATTGCAACTGTAATTCCAACTCCGGTTCTAGTTCCAGTTCCAATTTCAATTCCAGTTCAGTTCCAATTCCAATTTGACGATGAACTATTAGTTTTCGACTGATTTTTTCTAACGTTAAACTGTTTCGAAAAATGTTACTTTTCTTAAATGTTACTTCTCGTCTATGCAACATCTACTTTTCTCCTTTGCATTTTTAGAAGTTAGAATTGCTTTTTTTCCACAATTTTGGTTGTAGTAAAAATATGAGATATTAAATAATCGATGGGATTGTAAGGTTGAAATACTAGTAATATTAATAAATGTCACCTCAATCAGGATTGTAATTCGAAATTTAAACGATTTCATTTGAAATTTTATTTTCTAGTTTTTTTTTATTTAATTCTTTTTTGATTTAATTTGAACGCAACTTAAAGTAACAACAAAAGTAGTGCTAAATTAATCACAATTAAAAATACCCTAGCTACGTAGTCTATGTAGTCATAACAAGATTGCGAGTTTGGCAATTTAGATCGTTAATCAATTTAGATCGTCATGCGTATATGTTCGCGATTTTTTTGTTTGTGTAAACGTGATAATATTAATGTTTTTTTAAGGCTTATGTTTTCTTCGATTAATAAAGGATGGATCTAGTTGACTGCTAGAAATTCGAATACGGAAGCAGTAAATTTCCATATCCAACATTGAGCTGATCCTGAAATTTAGACAATTAGTATGTATATTCGGCTGAAACCTGCAAATTTTGCTGCACTTGCTACCATAATTTTCTTTCTCTATCTGGGATATCTCATTTGGGAAAAAGAGGAACATTTTCCGGATGTTATTATTGAGCTCCACGATTTGTTAAGGTTTTTAAGGATTCATTTGCTGAATTAAGTTTGAGAAATTAGAAATTATAAGATATTCAAGTTCTTTTTTTTCTTTTTTTTACCGAAGTCGTAGTGCTTAGACGTTATGTAACCCTGTTAGACTTTATGAAACTGTGGCTTTTGGCAACCCTTTTTGAGCCCAGGAAATGAAACAATATGATCAGTCAGGCTTTCTTTTTGGAGTGAGAAAAAATGATCATAGATAAGTCCTAAGTTGTGGTATACTTTATTTAAAAGAAATTCGTTTACAGTTATGTGCTTCTGGCTGCAGAACTAGGTGGTCGTGCTATACTGGATGTTAATGATGAGGAAAAATTGAATACTTTTAAAAAAGCTGAGACGGATGTTGGCAAACCTGAACTTTTGACGCGGGCTGATTTACTGTCAAACCAGCTTGTAATGAGCGTCCTGGGAAGATATCCAGGTTTAAGGGTGAGGCTTTTCTGTTGGATTCATTTTTTAAATTGTTGTGGATTAATAGAGAACTTATTTGTTCCGTTAAGAAATTCTTTTATGTTCCGAACTATCCAGTTTTTGACCGAACGTTCAAATTTGAGCTTTCAAGTATAACAATTTTTTGTGATTGCATTTCATTTTTATTCTTTTAAAAGGGAAGGCACGTGAAGCAGTTATAGTGATATGCAGGACATGTATTCAGATAATTTCTGAAGAAAAGGGAGAAATGATAAACATAGTGGATTATGGAAAATATCAGTCACAGCAGGAGAAACTTTATGCAGATGTGAAGGCTATTGTTGACTTATTTCCGTCAAGAAAATATTTTTTGTCGAAGTTAGCTATTTGGGTTGATCCATTGGATGCAACACAAGAGTTTACAGGTGAAATTTTGGGTCTCGCTTGCGCAATTATCCAAATAAAGCAGTGAAGAGTTCTAGCTCTTTTTCTGTCTAAAATTTTAGGAGTATTGGAAATTTATGATTCAGATGTACGTCCGCTACTTACTGATATTACCCACTGACATACGATAGAAATTCTGATTACCTGTATATTTTATGTTTCAAGACTCATTAGAATTTTTCCCTTCTGTTTCTCATTCACATGAAGCATGCACGTAAATTTTATGGCTGCATTGTTTATGTTTCCAGAAGGTCTGTTTGAATATGTTTCTGTGATGATTTGCATAACATTGGATAGCATACCTGTTTTTGGTGTGATTTACAGACCATTCACTGGTGAAAGGGGTTTGTTTTTATTTTTCTTCTATGCCGTTTTTCTGCTATGTTGAAATTAGTTAAAGCAAACTGCACTGTTATAGAACAATCCAGAAGTAATCAGTGATAGTTTCAGTCTTTATTACATTTGTTTGTCATTTCACGAACTCATTTCAAATGAATCAAATCCTTATTTCACAGTGTATGGTTTAAATGAATTTGGAATCATGAAAGGAAACGGCAATAAATGGGATCGTACGATTTTGAAGAACCATTCGAAATTGGTAATGGTTTCCAGGTACTTTTCGTGGTGTTCTATTTTCGAGATTCTGCCTGCCACTAAAAGAATTTGATTTTATTTATTTTAAATAAATCATCGAATTTTGTGAGTAGAAAAGATCATGGCTATGTTCGACCAATAGTAATACAGTCGTCGCAAGAAGTACTGACCATACGAATGATCAGTTGTTCCTGATAGAATGGCGTGAACTTCTAGGTTTCTTACTGTCACTAACACTTGCATTTCTTTGGGCGTGGAAGTAGTACTTCTGTTGACAGTATTTCCATGAAACCACTTTTCTGGGTCTTTTGAAATTTATTTCTAAAAAGAAGCGAAAAAAATAAACATGAAGCAACGAAGGAAAATAAGAAGCTTGTCATAACTGGCAACAGAACTACAAACAATCTTTTGTTCTTTTAGCTCAGAAGAGGAAAGAGCTCAACAGAAAGAAGATTAATTGATTAATTTAATAATGACTCCGTTTTCAGATCACATGCTGGGAATGTGAGAGAATTGGCACTGAATCCTTTTTTTCCAATTTTACTGTTGAAGCAACTGGAGGTTCTGGTTACAAATCGTTGAGATTGTTAAATGGCACTGGAGGTGTGTTTTCATTTGTGTTACAGAAAATCGGGGGACTTCCATTTTCATTTCATGTTTGCTCTCTCGATTATGGTTTAGTGATATTATATTGATAGCAACGTTTTCGGTAACATTGGGGTAAAATGTATAAAATAGCATGCCTTCTCGATGGCTTAGCTTGCTGCACCTTTCCGAAGTTTAAGATTTCCTGTCTGTTAATTTTTCCTGACTTATTTTTGCATATTTAAACAATTCCTACCTCAGTTTTCAGAGTTATACTTACACAAGACTGCCATTAAAAAGTGGGATACCTGTGCCGGTGATGCTTTGCTTCGATCGATTGGTGGTTTAATGCTTGATTTTAATGGTGATGTGTTGAGTTACGACCCAAATGGCGATTATGTTTTACGGAATGGTTTATTAGCTGCTGCGCAGTATCCTTTCACTTATTTTCAGCAGTGGAAACAACATTTAAAAGGAGCTTCGATTACGAGATAAAATTCCATCAATTAAATCCAGGAAATTAAATTCAAAGCAAGCAGCGTTTCAACTTTCTCAATTTCTGGGATATCTCTTTTTTCAAGATATTTCTGTCACCATTTTGTTAAATGATGTTCTAATTTTAAAGAGGGCAATTTATGCTATCTGTTGTGCCATAAATATATGCTGTTGTTTGGCTTTTGATGCAGTACCTCACTTATATAACTTCTTGATCAATTTCTCCTCGAAATTTTGAACTTCTAACCTATTTTTACCTCATAGTGTTGGAGCAATGATTATTTAAACAATAATGTCGATATTTTAAAAAATGTGATGTACTGGACATTTTGAACCACCTAATCCATAGAACTGTCCGTTCGAAAGTGCTGTCGTTCTGCTTTATTCTGATGAAAGCCGTGAGATTTGGGTGATCATAAAGCTAAAATTAATCTTCAACTAAATCAATATGTTTTTGGCATTGTCAGTTCTCCAAAACTTGTTGTATTACTCTGCACGGTCTTTGTATGCGCAAATTATTACTAAAATATTTTTACTTCTGACATCAGCTTTTCTTGGCACATGAAGGCCAAAAGATGAGTGCATAGAGTGATGGTACAAATATCCAGGTATTCGGATGCGCCCTTTTTGGGTGACAGTTTTGATAGTTGCGATTCGAGTAACACATTTGAACCCGCCCATTAAAATTTGTTGGATGCATTCCTTTGATTCCGCCCTGTTTTTTGTAATAGGTAATATATTTAATGTACAAACAAGAAAAGGATTTTGCACATTAATTCCGATTACCATCAAATCCCGATTACCATCAAAGATTTGATGGTAATTAAATCCTCTATGTCATAAGCATGACTTGTCTGGCTTTCATTTTTCATATTCTTGTTTAGAAGAATTATTGTACAATTCTACATACTGATCGTATTTCAAGATTTACTATTTATTTGTTTATACTTGTTTATTATTCTATATCTTTGACTTCCAATAATTTGATAGTGATTTCTCCATCAAAAGAATTTGCATACTCGTAAATTTTTAAAAAGCCAGATTAGACTTTTACTGAACTTCCTATATTCACAATCCATTTTTTATCTTTGTCAACTTTTTTTTTGTCGTTAGATGGAATTATTTTTTGCTGCAAGGGATGTTTTACAATTTTCACTTTTCCTTGCTCTTTTGTTAGTGATACTCGAATGATCACCAAATCTTCCTGATGTTATTCATTATAATGCATGTCTCATTGTTGTCTTGATGTCACGTCTCACGGTTGTCTTGATGTTATGCCAAATTGTACCTTATATATCTCCCAAAAATAAATCTACGTTACGATGTAGTTATTAAGTTTTGACTATCTGATCCTTGGTAGTCATTTTATGACAGGCTGTTGTTTGCTAGCATTAGTATATATTCAGTTTCTACTTCCTCATCGCATTGTGCAATAATTGAATTATTAATTGGATTATAATTAGTCTTATTACTTATCATTTCCGTGTTCTGTGAGCAAAACAAAATTATCTCGAATAAGCGCTACTGGATTTGCAAAACTGCATAATACTTAAGTTGCAATAAACATTTTGATTACTAATTTTTGGGATTATTAATTCGTCCTACACAAATATTTTGCATATTTCTGCTTGCATAGCGAAATATGCTTATTATCTTGTTTACGAAGATTAATTCAAATGTTTTCAATTCATTATATTCCTAATCGTAATTAATCATTGTCACTTCAGAATTACTGGAAGTACATGCCTAATAATAAGTTATTTGACATTTTATTAATAAAAAATACAGATTAAGAAGTCTGTCTTGGTTTGCCGGAAATATTTTAAAAAAATAACATATTATCGTCACTTTTGGTATCGAAAACTAATTGTGAATCATTTATTGTGGCAGTCTTCTCTTATGCAAGCCATATTCTTTTTCAGCTGAAGTGAAACGAACGAAATGGAAAGGAATTTGAATGATTTGGCAATTCGTAAATTTCAGTTGGCGTCAGAATTTTTAGCACTTAATAGGGAAATGGGGACTACTCTCGATAACTATCGGCTCAACTTATCTAAAACAAAGTAAAGCTCTTGTTTTAAATTGCTGATATTTGTTATGGATTTATGCGGTAGGTGAACTGAATAACGCTGACTTCATATCATGTCAAATGCTTTAAGCTTGGTATTGATTTTGATTGCACGTGAAATAGATCGAGTCTTATGTTGTCAGCTTTTTAGCTATGCACATAGACTACTCATACTAAAGAAATGAGGCTTTTTAGGTCAATTATAGGATTATCAGCAACAAGTGCCGCATTTATCGACAACCGCGATTTGGAACCAGTTGTTCGGTTCGTTTCGAGATAATCGTTGCTCTAATTACCATTTCGAGTTCATTATTTATCAATTTTAATTTAATATGGTTATCGAACATAAGTAATATGAAAAATGAAAATACCTAAAGAATCTAATCAAACTTCAGAACATTTATTATGAATTCGTACTGATATTACTTGCTAAAAATATGCTTGATGAAATGGGTTCCGCATTAGATTTATTCTCTTTTTTTTTCTTTTTTTTTTAATATAGACATCAAAAAGAAGCAATCAGTCATTTAAAATGTTTGATATGCTTGATGACTATGTTAAAAGAAGAAATGATCAATTTGCTAAAAAACATTGGATATCTTAATACCAATAAACGAAATGAAATAATTTGACGGTAATTTCATGGCTGTCTTTCAGGAAACTCAAAGCCGCAATTACGCCTGTATCGATTTACAGGCTATACAGGAGAAATAGTTGATCTTTTTGACCAAGCAATTACGATTTATCCTTTATGGGACAGTGACTGAGTAGAAATTTATTTAATTTATAAAAAGAAGATAAATTCAGTGACAAGCTTTTTGATTCAATTCACCAAATGTTAAAAAAAAAAGACAAAGTTGGCAAACTGAATGAAAAAGCCTGTCGTTGAATTCCACTTTCTTTCGAAAAATTTGTTTTTGATAATCAGTTTTGTTTATTTGCAGGGTTGAAATAAATTCAGATGGGATATTTTCTTTGGTACCAAGTGATGCGCTGAATAAAGTCAGTAAGGGTTGTCAGTTTCGTCCATTTGGTATCCTAGAACCACTGTGCGCAAAAGCTGCTCGACATGATATCGTAAAAGCATTTCCACTGATTTGTGAAATAGCTAATATAAAATACAAATTGAAAGAACTGGACGAGGAATATCGTAAAATGAAAGAATCTTTAGCTTTGGTTACCTAGATTATTAAAAGTTATTAATGCAATTTATTTGTCGTTTAGCATCATTTAATCCAGGTGCTGTAACATCGAGAGCATTTCTCTGGTTATGCTTTTCCAGTGCCAAATATTTTGCTATTTCAACACCGGGATGGGCTGCCCAAGCCGCGTTTTTTAGAACCAAAGCATAATTTAAAATGTAAATTTTTCACTAATTTAATACTCGTCGTTTTTCCAACTTCATATTAAATTGTTTTAAATTCATCAAAACATTCAACTACTTATGGTGAGTGATTAAAAATTGCCATTAAAACAACTGCACTACGCGCAATATATAAACGTTTTAAAAAAGTAATTTATACAAAAAGCTGACAATTTGATCACCCTGATTTTGTGATACAAATAGCTTATGCTTGATCGCTAATGACTGACACAGGGAAGTAACGCTTTCTGAAATTATTCATTAGCCATGAAGAATTTATTAATGCAAGTAATTTTTTTTTTTACGACCTGATATTATTAGTATTATTACGAGTGAAAGGATTTATTGATGAAAAGAAACAAGTTATCCACCGTGGATTTAAAAAACGTTTCCGGATTTCTTCCACTTCAAAATCGACATTTATTATAAGGCAAATGGGAAAATACAGCGAGATTTTCTGGAAACATTCTTTTGCATAACATTGAGTAAATCAGCTCATCTTTCAAGTTTGTTTTTGGCTGTTCAATTAATTTAGTGCGATAGTTGAGAATAATTAAGATCTTGACGAAACATTTAAACATTCGTAAAATCGATACTTAATTCGACCAATACTGACACCATGAACTACCGTCAGATGTACGTAGAAAATTTTGTAGATGGGATAGGAGTTTTCATAACGTGATGCGGTCAATGCTATAGGAGTGTGTATTTTGGGTTGATTTGTGTTTAGTATCATCTTTTGTCTTGTTTGCAATATTGTTTATGGGGTTGATTCAGTGAGGGTCCATTCATTTAATAGCTAATAATCAGATGAAATTATAGTGCAATGGTAACAGCGCCGAAAGTTAAGAGGCATACGGTACAAAAACGGAGCAAGAAATGGGACACTGGAAAGACAAAGAAGAAGAAGAAGCAAACGGTAAAATACAACATCGAGTGTAAAAATCC